AGGCTCTAGATCATGTGCCAACTCTGATAAACTACGGGGACTGCTTGGAGCCCGGGTTGAGAAGCGAGTTGGGTGGTGTCCGGGTTCTATCACGAAGAAGGCTGTGATCGATTAGCAGTGTCTGCCATGGGGGCCATGGTGACACCCTTTACATGGGGAAACTGGGGGAGGGACTGCAAGCCAGTCATGGGAACAGGTGGGATGCTCCATCCTTGCAGTAGCCGCCCTCTGCATCCCAGGCAGGAGGGCTGTGAAGGCAGTCAGAAGTCCAGCTTCCCCGGGTCCTGGATGGAACAGCTTAAGCCCCAAGCTAAAGGGAGCTTAGAAGGGCAGCCCACCTACAAGTGGGTCTGCGCACCGCAGGCCACACCAGCGTTAGCTCCTTATCCTCTGGAGTCAGTTTTATCTGGGCAAAGAGAGCTGTCTGGTTGTCCTCAGGCTTAAATGCAACTCGGAGACATAAGCATTCTTACGTGGTACTTAGACAGAAACAGCTTTAACTTCTGGATAAACTTACAAAGCTTTCCAGTCCACACTAAAAAGGTTTATCTTCTGTGGGCTACTGAGAAACCAAAACTGAGTGAAAAGACAGTCTTAATTAAGTTCTGGAATGAGAAAGACAGCTTCAGAAGGTGCTGTTGCAGCAGAAAATGCAAAGGCTGGGTGAAAGAATGTTTCTAGAAAATGCCAGAGGGACCAGACATAACCCCAACTTTGTCTTCGGCTTCCCCTTGAGGCCACACCACGCGCAGGAGCCGGGAGGCTGCTTGGTCCAGCTGACTTTGAGGATGTTGTAATGCTCTGTGAGTGTATCCGGGTGTCTGTTGAAGTCCTCCACGCTCTGCTTGTGGGTTTTGGATGCTTTCTTCAGGATCCTTTCTGTTTTCCACTTCTGCATCTTCTCGAAGGCCACCTGAGCCGGGGTCCGCTTGTCCAGGCTGCGCCGCCTCTCCTCCTCGTTCTTTTGGTTCGTTTCCATCGCTTCTAGACGTTTCGCCTTGTCTTTGTCCTTTTTCTTCCACTTGGTCACACCCAGCTCTGCGACACCTTTCAGTTTCGGGGCCCCTTACCGACCTGCTCGTAGGCCACCATGGCGCCCGCCCGCAGTCGGTAGGTAAACCGACAATGATGACTTTTTAATAAATGTTTTTTGTTCTGTGGCCATTCAGTTGCATTTTCATTTCCAAATGTGGATGACATTAGTGAATCTAGAAAATCAGTAGTGGGAAAGTTGCATACTCAAGAAAATCAGCGATTATAAAATAGAATTAATGATTTAATCACTGTGTGTGTATTTCCAAAGTGTCTTGAAGCCAAATATAAAGAAAATTCTGATTTGTGAAGCTCAAAAATGAAATGTAAAAAAAAAGTTGGCAAAAATGTGTAGTAAACTGCTAAAAACCAATGCCTTATCAAGTACCATTGGATTGATTGTGAATATCACTCCGTGAGAAGAACTCTGGAGAAGACCTCAAGAAACACAGACCAAGAAGAACAGTAAAAACTTGAGCATTCGTGGAATCGTAGAATCTCTTCTGTTATGTTTAGAGGACTGACTGGGAGCTAAAAAATGGAGAGGAGTAGGGACAAACATTTTTTATTATGTTTCTGTAACAAATACAGATTCTCTCAGAAATAGTGCTGAGAGTAGCCTACTTAACACTTTTTATGCCATGTACCGGAAGGAATGTATGATGAAATTCACAATTTTTTCAGTGATGTTAAACTTTCTCTGGTAGAAAAATGCCCCGCTGAATAAGTGTAAACTGTAGGTGTCTCTCCAGTAGAAAATAAACAGATGACATTCAGTATGAATAAGTGTAAAACGGTGCGTTTTAGAAAAATATACATGTACGTAGAGAATGATAGATTGAGAGAGATTGGATATCTTTGTGAGACCTGAGTATTGTTCTATGATTTGTAAAGACATTAGTAAATTTGTTTTCCGATGAAAAAGGCCACCAGAATTCTGTGATAAAATTAAGAACATAAAAAAGCAAACCTTCCGTGAATAGTACCCCAGCTGTTTCATATAACTTTGTTTGCCACCCTACGAAGAAATCAAATTACATTCAAGAAAGATCTTGAGGACCAATACATCTATACTCCTGTACACATGGTGAATGCTCTCAATCTACCCAAGCAGTTCTATAGGTCAGACTTCCTGGCTTTAGAATGTTCATCGTAGACCAGTGACTGGCGAGGACAGCCTGTCCTCCGTCCCACCCGCACCCTGTAGTTATTGCTGGGGCTTTAGGAGCGGGGGGCATATAGTTCTGTCATTCAAGCTCTGAGTTAAAACCTAAAATAGTTATAAATGGTCATTATTTCCCGTAGAACCTTAAAGTGTAATATAGCTGAATATCACTTAAAATAGCATTTTGTTATGCTGTTTTACGTTTGAAAAATACAATATTCCAGCAACAATTTTAGTTAAATACGCTTTAAGGATTAGACTAGGAATCTGGCCCGCTTTTATGGTTTTCAGTAGGGAGAAGTACATTCTTCATTCTAGGCTTACAAATGAAGTGTGAAAGTTGTTTTTGGTTGAATATTTAGTATATTCATGGATTATAGATTCATAACAGTATAGAAGAAGTTAGTTATGTCTGGGACATAAGCCTGGTCTTTTGAGGTGGCTGTGCTGGGGGGTAGCTATCAGTAATAGGCGGAATAATAGGCAGATGCGCCACTGATCTGAAGGACAGCTGTTTTTTTTTTAATGGTTACATAGATAAGATTACATCTTACGGTTGTGGACATGTACTGTCTTTGAGAGTCGTATTGGGTGCATTAAAGATCTTTTGCTTCGAAATGAGCAGGTGGAGTTCTTGATCTTTTTAAGTAAATCTTGAATAAGTCTTTAAAAAATCAAACAACCCGTCGCCATCGAGTGGGTTCTGACTCATAACGACCCTGTAGGACAGAGTAGAGCTGCCCCAGAGGGTTTCCCAGGCTGTAATCTGTACGGGAGCAGACTGCCACATCTTTCTCCTGTGGAGTGGCTGGTGGGTTTGAGCTGCTGACCTTTCTTTGTCTGTCTTTAAGAAATAGATAATAGCATCTGGCAAACAAAACGCTGAGGTCCTGGAATGGACTTACTCTCCCAGTGTGACTGACCTTGTAGGCGTGTTTTGGTTTAGATGCCCTGTGTAGGACCTGGCTTTTTGGATATGGGGAGAATTGCTTTTAGACATATTGTTCATTATTAGGCCCTTAACCTTTATGTCCTTGCTGATTGCCAGGTTGTTAGTTTTCTTGCCTGAGGGTCAGTGTGTTATTGTTGCCCCTTAAAAAAAAAATCATTGCTACTCAAATGTGTGCATTATGGATTCAGTCATTTTTTGTATCCCTAAATAGAAACTTTTTTACGTCCTTGAAATTAAATGCTTTTGTGGTACTTTGAAATTCATTTTTTTTTAAGCATCTTATTTTATTGACTACACGTGTGTCACTTAGGTCTTGCTAAGAAAGAATACAAAAATAATCATACCTTTCGTTTTCTCACGAGAAGAGTGCTGACGTAAAGCATTGTCACCACTTCCTTTCCACCACCACCCGCTTCGAGATTGTTCGGCTGTATGTTTGGAAGAACCATCCTTACCCGACCCTTTCTTTGGCATTCTAGAATTCGGCTTCTCTGTGAAGATAGGACATTTAGAATCTGAACAATGTCCTCCTTCCACATTCTTTTTCCCTTCTTTTCTCTCTATACAGCCATAGCTGTCAAAGTGTACAATACATCAAAATCCGAATATTTTAATACTTGTTAATATAATCTGTACCTTTGTTCAGCATTTGTGCAATTTAAATACATTTTTGTGCTTATATGCATTTATCATCTGTTTAAGAATATACATTTTTGTAAGGCTTAGAATCATCTCCCCCCCCCCCTTCCTCTCTCATCTCTCTTCCTCTCTCTCCTTCTGTTGCCCTGTCTCTCCCTCTCTGTGTCTCTACTGACCAGATGATACATGGTAAACCAGGACAGCAGAATCACTACAGTGTCACGAATCCTTAACTTTCAGAAAGGAGCGTTATTTAAAGTATACATTGCCACCGTCGATACACAACAATGTCACTAATCCTTAACGTTCAGAAAGGAGCGTTATTTAAAGTATACATTGCCACCGTAGCACCGTAGATACACTCCAGTCTATGTATTTCACTTGCTCGTTACCCTCTTAAGAAGGGACAAGGCAGATTTTTTAATAACTGCATGAAGCAACAAATATCTCTCTGTCTACCTATCTGTTTAGGTAGCTTATTAAAAGCATTTGAAGAGGTAATAAAAATACATCAAATCTGATCCATATTAAAATTTTCTTATAATCATTCCTGACGGGCTTATCTTTGATTTGAACCATCATATACATTAGTGTAATATAATATTCTGGTATCATCTTTGGACAAAAAATTAAAAGTGCTAGCAGAGAACTGCTGTTCAGTGGTGACCTCCAAGCCTTTTGATGGTTTATAGTCTCCTAAAGAGTAAAAGCAGAGTCTGAGCTCAGGCTTAACCTCTTGCAAAGGTTCATCTTTCTCTCAGGTGGCAGGTCGCATTTCAGTTCCTTAAAGAAATGTCATTTTTGTCTCCCCAATAGCTAGGCAATAGTAAGAGTTTCATGCTCAGTAGGCAGACTAATTGTAAAGAAACTGGAGTAGAGCTTATATTTACTCAAGACACTATATTATTATAAAATTAAAATTTTACGTTTAACTTTTAAATACAGTTCTGTTCGTTTCATGCCATTCTTTATTAGGTTCTTAGATTCTGTAGAGTAATATAATACTGCTTGATTAGATAGCTACATCCTTGTTTAGCTTGACTGGCACAGAAATTGATTATGGAGAGGTTGTTTGCTGTTTTAAGGATTCAAGAATTAAAGCTAGTGATTTTCTTGAAAGATAGATTTCAGATAAATCAGAGCGGTAACGTTGTGCTGGTTTAAATGCGCCCGCGTTTTATGTTTAACCTAAGTTCTCGGCTTCTCTTCCAGAGTTCTCTGGGGTGCTGCATCAATGTCACATTCTGGCATCGGAGATGGTCCACTTCATTCATCAAATGCAGTACTACATTACATTTGAGGTACCTGTTAATCATCCTGTTTATTTTAGTTTAAATAAGTCGTGTCTTATGGGGTTTATTTCCTAAAGGTTTTGTTTTGTATTAGGAAGAACACGAACTCACTCAGACGTTTTCAATTGTGGTTTTCTAGGTGCTTGAATGTTCTTGGGATGAACTCTGGAACAAAGTACAGCAGGCTCAAGATTTGGATCACATTATTGCAGCTCATGAGGTTTTCTTAGACACGATCATTTCTCGATGTTTGCTGGACAGTGACTCCAGAGTAAGACTCTTATTTGTTTTTCAGCCTTAAATAATGATACTCTTCTTTTCTTGGTTTTCTGTCAGATGGAGAATCTTAGAGATCACTTGATGCAGCCACATTGGTAGTAATTAATTAGTAGTTTATTCAGAGTCTGATGCTCTTGGTACACTGTTTCTGTTTCTGAACAGAATTGTAACAGTAGTGCTGGAACAAGGATGGGGTGCTCTGAAATGTCTCAAATAGACGTAAAGATGGTAGAGAACAGCAGCTGTTCATCTCCTGTGTGCAATAACAAGCCCCTGCTGTATTGTTCATGACAATAAAAATGTTTAAAGATTGTCTTCTCTGATGGACCAAGTAATCATCGATGATGGTTTTGAACTGGTGAAAGATAATATCTGAGCAAAATAAACTAAGCGAAGCTGTTTAAGAACAAAACAAATTGTAATATGTATGAACATTCAGTGGCATAATGTGAGGAAATGTAGAACCCACCAGGTTATGTTTTCATTTTCTTTATCTCGGGATGATGGTTTTTTCTTTTTTTACTTTCACTAAGTTGGTGTCTGGCTACATGGGTTAGAAAACAGGCTGTTTAGTTAAATCCTAAAGAGTCCCCAGCCCCTAAATATTTTGCTAACATTCTTTTCCTTCAGGGACCTCTATTCTCAGAGTTGAATGTTAAATAAGGCAGATCTTACTGAGTTTGAATTTTATTCAGAGATATGGGACAAAAAAGAACACATTGCTTTCACTTGAAACAGATATGTTGTTAGGTAGGATGCAAAACTTAACTTCAGTTTTGAGATTAAATTTGAGACTTCAGAGGAGGGCCCGGCTTGCGGAGGTCACCTGCTTCCGAGTAAGCTTTTGTCTCTTCAAGGGCACTTTCATGGGAGAAGCATGACTTCGGGGCTTTTGTTTTTTCTAAATTGGAGATGCCTCGATTGGCCACGTATTTTGAAAACATGCTGAATTTCATTGTTAAAGAATTATCAATCCTACGTGCAATAAAATTACTCAGATCAAAGGTGCTTCTATACGGAACATATCTGTATATTTTTATAAATACATTGAAATAATGGCATAGAAATAATTTGAAGTTCTTTGAATATAATTACAAATATAAGAAATGTAAATCTCAGGCTTTGGGGCCTTTTAGCTTCTTATTACTGTTACTAAACCTAGTCTTTACACAATGAAATTATAGAAAGTTTCAGAATTTCTGTAAATTCTGTCAGTTTATACATTTATTTATTCAGTAGATAAAGATGAGCGTCTTCATTATGCTATTACAGATGTTGATGTATTAACATGTGGGACATTATTAATAGACTCCAGGCATTCACTATCATGAATGTAATCAGGTTAGGTTTATCTGCCTACACACTAAAATGTTTTTGTTGCTGGGTGCCATCTAACTGATGTTTGACTCATAGTGACCCCATGTGACAAAGTAGAACTGCCCCATAGGGTTTTCTTGGCTGTAATTTTTACGGAAGCTGATCACCAGGTCTTTTCCCTTGGAGACACTGGGTGGGTTCAAACTGCCAGCCTTTTGGTTAGCAGCTGAGAACTATTTTACCACCAGGGCACCTTACATCCTAAGATAGTCATGGTTAAGACTAGAGCAGCTCTCTGGAAATAGACCTAGGTTTCAGTCCTCATTTAATTGCTTTTGACCCCAGTATTCTTGTGCTTTAAAAGGGTGTGATACTCATCATTCTTCAATAGATTTGTGAGGATTAAAGTACGTAATCCATGTAAAATGTTTAATCCAGTGGCTGGCACGTGATTGTTAGTCGCTGTTGTTATTAAACAATTAAAAGCCACCTTTCGTAAGTTAGAGAAGAAGTGTGAGTGTGTTTGTGTGTGTGTGTGTTTTACAGAGGTTCTAAGAACCTTTAGATTTAGTATTTTTTTTCAGTCTCTCACAAGTCTACCTTACCTTTGTAGTTCAGGTTAAACTGGAGTGTTCCAATAAATTTTTTTTTTTTAATACAGAGTTATGGCTATCTATAACTCTGCTAAACTGTCAGTTTCTTAGAAAACACTCTACTGAGCATGGAGTTTTCAATGGCTAGTCAAAGTGTAGTGGTAATAATATTAGATCAGGACTTGGAGCTTTCTTCAAACAAAAATGTGCTCCAGTCCTCGTCTGACATTTTGATCATTAAGGGACAGCCTTTTGGCAATTTAGTTCCATATGGTGTTTTTTTTGTTTGTTTTTAAATGAGGTGATATCATGGTTTTCACTGCACATTTTGTAAATGACCTCAAGCAGTTTACTAGCCCTGTTAGTGGGTTATTGTTCTGAAGAATAGCTAAGCGTTGATTATGCCACAACCCAGACTCTGGTGTTGGATTATTTAGGTCAAATGTATATTAAAAGAAAAAAAAATCAACCCGTTGCCATCAATTCCGACTCTCCTCAGAATAAATGATGTGCAGCTGGCTAACTCATTTAGTTCCCTTGGGATCTCTTTTGCTTCAGTCTCTTTGGATCGTCACGATACATTCCTCCTCAAAGTTTAAAAATGTTTCAAGAACTGTATTAATATTCTGTTTTGGATTGGAAGGTAGGGGAACAAGAGTATATTTGCATATACAGTGCTCTTGCTTATTTAAAAAAAAACCCAGAACAGCATTTTACATGGCTCGCTCTCTTAATGTTTTATGTCTAAAAGCTTGGGCCTTTAAATTACACGGTAAACTTTTTTAATAGAACAATTGCTTTTGAGAAAATTCTTGCCAGCTCTTTGGTAAGCTTTTACATTTTTCTGAAAGGCACGTACTCTTCCATTAGCATAGGAACTCAGCTCTGTCTTACAGCTGTTACAGCAAACTGTCCTCAAAATGTGACTCTTGTTTCAGCTGGTCCAGTAGAATGGTTGCTCTTTGGGTGTTTACTCGGCGGCCCTTGGGGAAGATTTTTCTGCCAGGAGATTTCATCAGAAATAAAACTGAGACAGCTTCTCTTTGAGAGGGACGTTTTAAGCATTGGTTCTTTATTTTTTCTTGTTTCATGGACCTTTTTTAAAATCTGAGTGAAAGCTGTGGACTTCCTGTCCAGAATAATGCACATGCATGCATAATTTTGCATATAATTCAGGGTGTTCATGGCCCTTTTGAAACATGTTCGTGTACTTCTAGGAATCTAAACATTCATGAGTACAAGTTGAAAACCCTTGGATATGTTAATGGCTTAGAAATTCTCCTAACTTTATCTGAGAGAATTCTATAAAGCAAAATACCTAGACCTTATTCTGTCTAATGCTTTTTTTTTTTTTTAACTCATCTTCAGAGAACAGCACAAAGTTGCAACCAGTCTGCAGTAGCCCTGTTTCAGTTACCGTCATGGTGTAGAAATGACTTGGAAAGTCTTTTAACTACAGCAGGCAGTCCTTACCATATGTTTCAGTTAACGACAAACTGCACTTTGACCATCTGTTTTTTTTTTGTACATCTTGTTGTTAGAAATAATGTGCTGCATACAGTGTTACAACATTTCTAAGTTTATATATAATGTTTCCAACCCCCAAAGACAAATGAAGATTGGATTTATAAAGATACTGATAATAAAAGGCAATAATAATGAAAACTAAAAAATAAATGAGGTGTTGGACTTACTATGGCGTCGCCGGAACGGAACCCCGTTGTAAGTCGGGGGCTACCTCTACTGAGGACTGTACCCACACGGAAACTTAATTGTACTAAATAAGTAGCACTCCATGTAAACTGATACATAGAGGTTCAGCCCTCTTGTAGATAGGAGAAGTCTGTATGAAACGCGTTAAATAGTCACAGTTCTCGTCTTTAGAAGAGTTCCTAGTTCTGTCTGTCACAGAATTTTCTTGTGATGATAATGGAATGGTTATAGGTGAGCTGGTTCTGACTGACTGACTTCACTGTAGGAATCGTTATACTGAAGGCTAGTAATCATTACTTAAATTGTGCTTTTGCTGATGGTTTTACTCTTGATTTAGTAATTTGTTTAAAAGGACGACAAGGCTGTTTTATGTTATTTTGCAGTTAGAGGTTGTAGCATGATTTAAAAAAAAAACCCATTGCCGTCGAGTCTATTCCGACTCACAGTGACCCTATGGGACAGAGTAGAACTGCCCCATAGGGCTTCCAGGGAGCGCCTGGCAGATTCAAACTGCCGACCTTTTGGTCAGCAGCCGAACTCTTAACCACTGCACCACCAGGGTTTCCGTAGCATGGTAATAGTTGCAGGTATATTCTTAGTGTTTAATTCATTTTTGTATTTTTGTTTGTGCATTGAGAAAAATCCTGAATCACGTAGTAAATTATTGCAAACTGATGTCACTTAGAACATACTTTTGCTATCATCCTGTATTAACAGATGGCCAACAGGAACCCCAGTGCACCCTTAGCTTAAAGTAAACATCAGTTAATCACCACATCATTTAATTAATTATTCAAAAAATAGTCTTAAAATATTTTTATGTGACACAATAAAGAAATAACAGAGGAAATAGTTTTTTATTAAAAACTAAAATTTAAAGCACCTCTTATTTGGCTTTTTGTTATAAGACCCCTTTAGAAGAAAAAAACAACTTTTAAGATGAGACTGTTGTTTGCTGTTTATTAATCATGCGGTTGCCTAAATTATGTGGTTGCCTAATATTACAAACAGCATTACTTAATCAGATTCTTATATTGCCAAATCAATCTACATTGTTTTCATTGCAGTCTAATTTGAAGATACTGTTTTGTACAACAAGTACACTGTAGTCAGTGAAAAAAGAACATGAATTGTTCATTTTGCAGTATTTGTGTTCCATTGAGTTGGCTTGTTCCAAAAGTCATTTGGCATGTACTACTTTCAGATTTGTTTCACTTGAGAGTCAGACATTAGCTCAGCTGTTGATGGTTCTGTTATGACATAATAAGTGAATTTTGAACCCAAATATTACTGTTCCTTTTTAAAGGAAAATATTTCAGTAGAGTAGAATGTGTGTTCATCAGATGACAGGTAATGGGAAATGACTTTGCAAATATCTTCATTAACTATAAAACTAATTTCAGTAGTAGTCAGCCCATGATCTCTGTTAATTCTAATGAAATTGTACAAGTGCTGTAAAAATGGTCACATTATTTTACTGCATCACCTGATGAGTCTAAAGCATAGTATCAAGTTATGTGAGTCTTTTCAGGCAACAAGAATGTGTCAGAAGCATGGAATCCCAGAAAACCAGTGGTTCATAATATGGCACAAAAATGCTTTTTGTCATCTCATCAGAAAAATCTTGCCTCTGTAAGGAGAAGGGACATTGTTGACTAAATATCTGTTTCTTTACACAGTTTTGAATCGTTTCACTTAGGTGGCTGTTCAGTAATACAAACATTATTTCAGCGTATTGTGTGGTAACATACACAGATACTCTGACTGCTTTCTGATGCCACAGTTTGGATCCAGGGTTTGACATGTGTGATCACTCTAAACTTTGCGCTGGAGGTGATCCACATTCTATTTATGTTGCTGAGAATACAGTGAAATGTCTCTGGCTGGGCAGCTCCTTCCCAGCAACTCTGTGTAAGGAAGAAGAACACAAATTCTAGTGTAATGGACAGCTAGTTGACTCTGATAGAGCCGTATACATCAACATCTTTTTTACCCTTATGACATTTGAAAAATAAAGATGCAAACCCATTGCTGTCTAGTCGATTCCGACTCATAGTGACCCTATAGGACAGAGTAGAACTGCTCCATAGAGTTTCCAAGGCTGTAATCTTTGTGGAAGCAGACTGCCGCATTTTTCTCCCACAGAGTGGCTGATGGTTTGGAACCACCAACCTTTCGGCTAGCAGCCAAGCACTTACCCAGTGTGCCACCATGATTTTGTTTCCATGTTTTGAAGTTTAAGTAGGGAATAAAGACTGGTTAGATGATGTTTTATTGGATAACTTACACTGGCATCAGGAGTATCTTTGTTTCCAATCTTATTAAGTTTAAATGACAAATGATTGTCATTTTTTTTACTTAATTCCAGATATTAATTTTCTGTATTGGATATAAATTTTGTCATTTTGGAGAGCTCATTACTTAATTTTTGGAACTGAAGACTGAAATTATATTTCCTTTGAGGTATTTCAACATTTTGCTTGTTTAAGTCAGTCATGGTTTGAGAACCACAGAACTCTGTTTTTCATTTAAAATTTTCTTCTTTTAGACAGGATTCCATAGGGAATAAATATTTGCAGTATGAATACTGCAGTAGTTTAATACACATTAAACTACTTTAATACATTAAACTACTCGTTTCATATATACCAAGCTACTACATATCCCATAATCTGAATTTGTGGATCAGCTTGGCAATTTCAAAAATCTTTGTTGAGATTTTGATTGCAACTCAGTTGGATTTATAGATAAAAGATGGCAATTCCTCAAGTTAACTATATTGAGTCTTCCCATCTATGAATGTAGAACCTCTTCAGTTATCTAGGTTTCTCTTATGCTTCTCAGTAAAGTTACATAGTCTTTCCCATAAACATCATGCAGGTCTTTTGTCAGATTATTACTACATTTTTAAAAATTTGGCTGCATATAGGAAGGCTGTTGATTTCTCTGATCTTTTACCCATTTTCCTACTCCAGTATTTTCTAGAACATCTTGGGTCATATTCTACAAATAAACGTCTTTCTTTCCAAACAGCATAACCTCTTGTTGTTGTTTTCTGTCTTGCCTTAGAGTGTTAACTAGGTCGACTGTAAGCACCAGTGGGAATCCGTGTCTTATTCCCAACACTGCAGGGATACTTTATTATTTCACCATTGGCTCTGATTTTGCTGAAGACTTTTGATAGGAGCCTTTATCAAATTATGGTGGTTCCATTCTACTCCTAGTGTGATTAAATGTTTTATATAAATCATTAGTGAGTTGAATTTTCTCACATAAATTTTTTTCTATGCTATTGAAATTCTTTTTATACCCCTAAAATTGTTAATGGATTTTTTTTTTTTTTTTAAACCTAAGATGGCAGGGGGTGGAGGTAATCCTCCCTCTCTTCAGTCATAACACAGTGTCATCATTGGTCCGTGATGGGCCCTCTCTTACTTTGTTGGATTTCATTTTATCCCTGTCACCACCAGTTCCCTAATTCCCTCTTCCTCTTTCCCCTGTGCCATCCTTGGTACAGTTTTAATGTGTTTCTGTATGGCCTTGAGTAGACATATGGTATTTTGTATCTGTATATTTTTAATTTGCATAAGTAATTTTGTGCTATAGGTCTCATTCTGTTTCCTTCTTTCCATGGCACACTAGGAGAAAGGATAACTAAAATATGGTAGATGTTGTACTGAAAAATCCTGTGTAACACTTACGAACAATGAACTAGATAGATATATGTACTTGACATTGATGTTTTTCTAAAATATCGAGAGATTATCCCAGTGTGAGACCATCCTTTCGTCCCTGGTATGAAATATGCTACCAGTTTTTAAAAATCTTACTGAACTTGGTTTTTAATATTTTGTGAACAATGTCCTTTCTCCTAGTCTCCATTTCTGGTTTTGGTTTGCTTGGTTTGGTATGTCTCAGGAAGGAATTGAGGTGCTTTCCCGTTCGTTTCTAATCCTGGAATAGTTTTACTCCTGACTCAGTTACTTACTGTCTGGCTTTGAAATCTGGGGACAGAACTTCATTTTCGTAAGGTTGTTGTGAGATTTGGAGAGAATTTGCATCAAGAGCCTGGCACGTCCTCCAACTCTGTAAATCGCAGCTGCTGTTGTTTTAGTAAATAGAGAATTACAGGTTTCTCCTAGTGGCTTGTACAGTGCTGTCCCATGGTAGGTGTATAGTAAATACTTGATAAGTGGATGAATGAACAACTAGTAAACTCTGAGAATTTGAGTTGATATTTTTGTTTTAAAGTATCCTTTTTTTAATTATTAATAATTTCTTTTAAGAAATTCAGGAAACATTTTGAAGTTCTTTTTGTATAAAGAAAAACATTGTCTTATTTCTTCAGGCACTTTTAAATCAACTTAGAGCTGTGTTTGATCAAATCATTGAACTTCAGAACGCTCAAGATGCCATGTACAGAGCTGCCTTGGAAGAATTACAAAGACGATTACAGTCTGAAGAGAAGAAGAAACAGCGTGAAATTGAGGTATCGTTTGTAGACTGTTGGATTTATCTGTTTTTAGAATGAACTTCTTGCCAGAGGATATGAACAGATGGTTAACTTTTGTAATGAAAGTTCCACACAAGTTGAGACCATGCTCGATCTCTGTCCGGGAGTCCTTAGGAAGTGCTGACTATTAAAGATGGAGTGGTGATCACCATCATCATTATCAAAAATAAAAAAGGCAACAAAATTCATGAGAATCACAAATATCTTGCCAGTTTTTACTAATAAGTGCTGAAACCACCCGCATCCTTTCCGTTGGCTTGCGCTCAGAGCGGTAATACCAGTTCTGTGGGGGCTGTTACTGTTTTAAGCTGATGATCTCATACTCTAACTCATTTCGTTTGCATGTAGGAATCCAGTTTCTCTACTTAAGGCTATTTGCAGTGACCTTACTAAGGTATTTTATGTTCTCCATTGCTCTGGATTATGAAGATTATTAAGCCAGTTTGGCTGTTTATGGAATTTCTTATGTTTGCTGTGATCTGTATGTCCTTGGAGGTAGTCAGAGACACATTATTCAGAGTCAGTACAATTTGATTAGTTTTACTTTTGAATATATATGTTCCATTAAAACTTGGGTTAGAGGACAGTATTTACTTAGCTTGGAAAATTCACAACCCCTTAAGAAGCCAGTTTGTTTCTTTAGTATATTTGGAAACAAAAGTAGTGCTTGCTGCATTTGTGTTGCTAAGGTGTTTCGTTATTTAAAGTGGTTTCATTTGTTTGTTTGATTTGGTTTGCAATTCTGAAGTGTCAGAGTTTGCATGCACAGAATCTCATGGACCTTTTCCAGCCAACCCTGTGGCTAACTACCGGGGTCATATAGACTTAAGATTAAGTGCTAACTGTGTAATTTATAAGCTTTGTGCGTTTGGGTGACTGAACTTCTTCAGGACACAGTTTTCTTGTTTGTGAAATGGGTGTGACTGTAAACGGTACCTCAGGGAGCTCCTGATCTACCCGTGACAACGTCTGTCAGTTATTTAGCATTTAGCAGTGTTCAGTAGGTGCTGGCCGCTGCTTTTTTTTTTTTTTTTTTTTTTAAACTGTGCATATGCCCCAGGTAATCTGTCCTGGAGAATTACTAAATAATATAAAACTACAAAAAATGAGTCTTTAGGATCTTAACACTGACAGTAGCATGGTGGTCAGTTACGCAGGAGTCGATGGTTCTCTCTCCAAGCTACTGACCATCAGCCGAGGAGTGAGACAGGTTTACACACTGAGTCCAGGCTCATTCACCCTGTTTTATTCAGGCATGCTTAGTACATCCCTTAAGCCTTAGAGTTCTAAAAGCTGAAACTTTATCTGAAAAATTACTTAAAAAGGCAAAATAATCTTTGAGGCAATCATTTAGGCCTAAGGCATACTGAAGCTTTGAAGAGGTTATGCAAGAAGACTTCAAAAGTTTTCCAAATACTTCTGAGACTGTGTTGTAATGGAAGTTGGCTTCTGCTTGCTTCACTCTCAACATTTTGTCATTTTTTTCTCTCATGCTGTTATTAGATAGAGGATTCTCAAAATATTCTCTTTCACCTTTAATCCATGTCTCTAGTTCTCTACCTTCTTTCCACCTTCCTTCTGAAAACTCCTACATCTTAAATATATAATGATAATTCCAACTCAAATTTAGGATGAACAGGCTTTTACTTTTTTGATTTTTTGAATATATATTATACATTGAAAATCCTGGTTTCTAACATTAGCCGTAATTACTTGCTATCCTGCAGCACACGCATACACATACACAACTTTCTCAGAATAAGAATCCTGATACTACCACCAGCAATATAGTTACTGAAAATGCTTTTACTTTTTTTTTTAAATAGTGTGTTTTATTTGTTGTTGTTGAGAATATACCCAGCAGAACATAACACCGATTCCGCAGTTCCTACGTGTAGTTTAGTGACACTGATGACATTCATCGAGTTGTGTCACCATTCTCCCCCTCCTTTTCTGAGCTGTTCCTCCTCCATTAACATAAACTCACTGCCCCCTAAGGTTCCTGTCTAATCCTTGGAGTTACTTTTGTCAGTGTGATCCCATACAGATAGATCTTAAAAGAGTGTAATGCTCAAGGCAGATATTCTTTATTAGTTAATCTGTTGTTTCATTTTAAGAAGATGTCAGGGGATATTTTTGGTTTAAGGTTTAAAGATTATCTCAGGGCAGCAGTGCTCCATAGGGTTTTCAACGGCTGATTTTTCAGAAGTAGATTGCCAGGCCTTTCTTCCAAGGCACCTCCAGGTGGACTCAAACCTCCAACCTTTTGGTTAGCAGTCGGGCACATTAATCATTTTCACCACCCAGGGACTCCAGCAAGAATAATAGCTAACAGTTACTGAACACTTATTATGTGCCAGGCACCCAGGACTCTACGTGGGTCAATTCATGATGTCTGCAGAACAACGCTGAGGATGGTAACATCAAGAACTATGAAGGGTCTGAGATTTTACCCTCCTTGTAAGTGTATAAATTAATCTGCCACAGCTTCATGGATGCTGGCAGAGACATGAGGCCCTTGGGTCAGAGACAAAGGACTTTACTGCCCAGCACATTGTCAGCGTTTTCCTGCACTGGTTCCCCAAGCCTCACTTCTCTTCTCAGGGAGAAGAACCTTGAGCTTAGGAAACCTGAATCTTTTATAATAGGCAGAAGGCCTGCCTGACCTTGGCTCTGGAGGAAGACACTCTCTCTGTCTTCCAAGGCTGTTCGTTATCAAATGTCCTTGAAAAGATATTTTCTTTCGCAACAAAGACCGTCAACACCTCTGTTCACAGAACATGTGGCAATGTGAGAGACCCAGGGAGAATTGTCTCCTAACAATTAGCATTACCCCTTTTTCTCGATGGGGAAACTGACACCCACAGAGGTGACGTGACTCGCCCAAGGCCCCACACCTGGTGATTTAGTTATCTGATGCTGTGTGACAATTACCCCAAAACGTAGCTGCTTAAAACAGCAAACATTGATCATCTCATAGTTTCTGTGGGCCTGGAATTCAGGGGCAACTTAGCTGGAAGGTTGTGGCTGCTTTTACTTTTTTTTTGCAGCTTTTTTTCCCCCCTTAGACTGTATCCCACTAGATACATGCAGTCAGATTCCATGTTGTAAAGTCCCTTGAGGTAATTACTCTCTTTGGAGTTATGCCACCAGCTCCATAGTAAAATTAATTGGTTTCTCTTTTGCTTTCAGTTTCTAGGAATTACTTTTATTTATAAAACAAAATTGAACTTAGTTACGTAAAATATTTACATGGTTCTGCAGTCAGATTTACGAAACAAGACATTAGACAAGTGTAGCATTTGGTACCATCTGCTCTGTTCTAGGACCTCTCCTGAACATGGGTGTAAAAATTCTTAACAAAATATTAACAAATTTATATATCGGAAGGATAGTATATTACAAGTTTAAGTGTATTCCAAGAATGCACTTCTAATAATAAAATATTGTAACTCTCCACATTTACAAACTAAAGGGGAAAAATTATATGATCATTGAGATAGATGGAGTACCAAGCAGACTAGGATACAATGAAATTTTCTTCATCTCATAGAAGATTTGCATAAAAAATCTACAGCAGAATGTCATACTTAGTGGTAAAATACTGAATGCGTCTTCTTGAGATTGGGAATGAGACAGGCTGTAGGCTCTCACCACTTCTGTGTTCAGTACTGTACTGGTGGTCCTACCGGTGTTATAAGCCAAGAAAAAAATACAAAAATGAAAGGATTGGGAAAAAAAAGAAAACTGTCTTTTTTTGTGGGGGGTGGGGGGTGGGGTAAAAGTCATCATTGGGGACATAGAAAACCCGAAAGATAAATTATTAGAGTTAACAAGTAAATTTATCAAAGTAGCTGGAAACAAAGTCAATATATAAAAATCAATTGTATTTCTTTATATCTGCAACAAACAAAATGAAATTTTAAAAGAAATGCCATTTAATATAGGAGCATTAAAATCCAACAAAATATACTCAGGGCCTCTGTACATAAAACCATAAGACAGAACTTGGAAACCAAAGGCTCGCTGGCCAGATTTGGCTTGCTATATGTTTTTGTAAATACAGTTTCATTTGAACAGTCACACCGATTTCTTTACAGTTTGTCTGTGGTTACTTTTATGCTACAGAGGAGTAGTTGTGACAGACACCAGATGGTCTGCAAAACCCTAAAAATTTACTAACTAGCCTTTTACAGAAAAAGATTGCTGACCCCCACTCTGAAGCATCACTGGGAGATATAAATAGAGGAATATATCATGTTTATGCATTGGAAAATTAATATGTAGATTAAATGCAATCCCTGTTTCCCAAGAGTTTCTTTTGTTTTTTGTATTGTTAAGCTAATTCTAAAGTTTATGTAGAAGTGTATACAGCCTGGAATAGCCAAGGGAATATTGATTTAGAACAAAATTCGAGGATTTATATTTATACTACCACATGTCAAGGCTTACAGTAAAATAACAATAATTAAAAGGGTGTGATACTGACTCAAGGAAAGACAAATCAGTGGAACCGAATGGAGTCCAGGATTAGACCTACACGTTTAGGGATGGCTAATCTATGACAAAGGTGGTGCTGAGAACATTGGGGAATAGATAATCTTTTCAATAAATGCATTAGGTCAAGTATATCTTAACCCTCCCTCATACATACACACGAAATACAGTGCAGTGCATCTTGTGAACTTAAATGCGAAAGGTAAAATACTAAATAAAGCTTTTAGAAGGTAACGTAAAAAGAATGACTTTGAGGTGAGGAGACTTCCCTTAAATTGGATATTAAAAAATAGCAATAACTTAAAAATAAAGATTATCAGTATGCTCCTTGGAAGCCCTGTGGGGCAGTTCTACCGTGTGTTCCAGGGTCGCTGTGAGTCAGAATCGACTCGATGGCAGTGGGTGTGTTTGGTTTTCTGTACAGTTAGTAGTGTCTGTCTGTCAGAGACAGCCATAAGAAGGTGACAGGGCAGGCCACAGCCTGAGAGAAGGTGTGTTTATGTGTCTGAGGGACAACTCAAGGAGCCCTGGTGGTGCAGCGGTTAAGTGCTCGACTGCTAACCCAAAGGTCAGTGGTTTGAACCCGCTAGCCGCTCTGTGGGAGAAAGATATGATAATCTACTTCCATAAAGATTTACAGTGTTGGAAATTCTATGGAGCAGGTCTGCCCTATTCTATAGGGTCGATATGAATTGGAATCGACCCGACAGCAAAGGGCTTTTGTTTTCTAAGTGACAGCTCATCCAGAATGTATAAAGAGCTCCTACAGATCAATGAGATAAACCCATTTAAAATATGGGCAAGACACTTCAGAAAAGGTGGCTATCGAAATAAAATTTATGAAAAGGTGCTCACCCTCATTAATTGTTAAGTAAGTGAAGATTTAAAACCCTAGTGATATACATTATATCCCCAACAGAATGGCTAAAATTTTAAAGACAGATAATACCAAACGTTGGAGATGATAAGAAAAAATAGTAATTGTCATACACTGTTGGTAGAAGAACAAATTGATACAAGCATCTTGGAATATTGTTTAGCGGTCATTTAAAGCTGAATTTAGGAATACTCTCTCCCCACGTTTCCCCTTTGAGGTAAGTATCCAACAGAAATGCATTGTCAGATACAACAACAGTATTCATAGCAGCATATATAATAGTATAATATTTCTGGGAGAGGAAGTAGATGGTGATTGGAAGAGGTTGCGAGAGTGTCTGCTGGGATCTAACAATGTTCTGTTTCTTGATCTGGATGGTGGTTTCATGAGCTTACTCATTCTGTGATCATTCATCATGCTGTTCACTTATGATTTTTGTACATTTTATGTATTTTACTATAATAAAATAGTGCATAACCAGTTGTCAGAAAAGACTGTTTACAGCTGATAGATCAAGTAATACACATATACATGTACTAAAAATATAAATACGAAAATAATAGCCTCTAAAATTGGGTGGCAAGAGGAAGGGGGACACTCATTATTGCTCAAGTTAGGCAGCTGATAGCGTCTAAAGAAATAGATGAGAAAAGTGATATGTTTTATAAAGATATAGCTATAAAAGTAACCACTGGAACAAAAGTAAAAATTACAGTTTTAAAAAATTTTCAAAATTATCAGAAGAAACGCAGACCATATAGTAAAAGGTTATCTCCCCTCTAGTAAACTAGAAAGCATAACATAAATATGATAACAGACCTAGGACCCGTCATAGCCATCACATCAATAAATATAACAAGGCTAAACCCAACTCATAGGAGAAAAAGGCTCAGTGAAAGACCATGTCAGTTTGGTAGCCTTACTTAAAGGGACTAGACTGCTTGTAGCTGGTGACTTGCTGGAGAACTGAAGGAGTCATTATCCAGGCATACCTGCTGGGTGGAATGTTCTGGTAAAGAAGAGATATACTCAACAGAATGACACAGAAAGTTTAAAAAGATTGGACAAGGCATACTAATTAAATGCAACTCAGAAGAAAGTAGGTTGTGGTTCAGAGCAAAAGTAGTAGACTAGACAGGGATACCTTGTAATGATAAAAGGTGCAAGCCGTAGTGAAGATAGAACACAATTATTGCTGCCTGTAATTACCACATAATACAGTGTCAGTATACATAAAACAAAAACTGTAGGAAATACATGGAGAAATGGACTGAAGCATTAGTATTAGAAATATAATTCAGTTTCTCTTACGCCATAAAAAACCAAACCAACATTAAAAACTCGTTGTCATCGAGTTGATTCGGACTTATAGCGACCCTGTAGGACAGAGTAGAACTGAGTTTCCAAGGAGTGGCTGATGGGTTCGAAATGCTGGACTTTTGGTTAGCAGCCGAGCTCTTAACCACTGCGCCACCAGGGCTCTGCACATAAATAAGTAGGACATAATTATGTCAAACTTAATATCTTAAAATCAGGTAATACACCTTTTCCAAGTGCTTATGAATTATTTAAAATAACTGATTACGTATTAGGCCTCAGAGAAAATCTCAGTAAGTTAATGGCAAAAGCTATATAAATATATAGGTATGTACTATATGTATACTATATATATAGTATAGAAAGCAGTAGAATAAATTTACAAATTAATACCAAAAGTAGAAATCAACACTACCTACAACAACCAAAAATCTTACTATCTGGATGTTTAAAATCTCTTTCTTAAATAGTTCTTGGAATGTATATTTTTTAAAGTAATCATAAGGGAAATGCTATTTCCGAACCTGTGGATACAGGTAAAACATTACTCAGAGAAAGATCTGTAACCGTCAATGCTTATATTAATAAACTATAAAGAATGAAAGTAAATAAATGTCTAATTCAAGAAGTTAGAAAAATACCAGTAAAATAAGACGAAAGAAAGCCGAAGAAAATACTTAGTAAAGATAAGAGCAAAAATTAGTGAATAAAAGAAACAGAAGAGAGGAGCTAATAAAATCCAAGAGCTGGTTCTTATTTGGGGGATTGGTAATGGTAGAATAAAACAAGCTATTGACTAATCTAATAGTGCAGGAGAAAGCACAAATACACAAAACAAATGAGAAAAATATCTTACAGTGTTTTGCTCAGCTTTATGGGAATAAATCTACACACCGAGTGGAAATTACTGATTTTCTGTAAATTTCCAAAATTGACCCCTGAAGAGAAAGCAAATTCTAAACACAACAGCTGCTAAAGAAGAAATGAAGGAAATGAGTTGAGCAACTCTGCCACCTAAGTACCAGATTGGATAGTTTTACTGAGAAACTTCTAACCACCTTTAAGCAATGGTTAACTCTTACACCGTATCAACTATTTCAGAGTTCTAGAAGAGGAAGGGAAGTTTCCAGGTTCTGTTTACGAAGCATCATGAGGTTGGTAATAATACTCAGAAAGAACAAATCATGGTTATAAACACTGATGGAAAATCTTAAATGAAATATTAGTAAAAAATATCTAGCAGAATATTAAAAGAATAATTCACCAATATTAGGGTTTATTTCAGGAATGCAAGGGTTCAGGGAACGTAGTAATGTAGTTCACTGTGTTAATGGCTGAAAAGAAGAGAATCCTATGATAATTGCTGTATACACTGAAAAGGCATTTTGTCAATTTAACCTTAATTTAAAAAATAAAAATAAAAACAGATGGTTGTATCTCCAGGACAAAACTACATCACATTTAGTGGGAAATAGTAAGAAGGATTACTATTAAAGTTAAGAATTAAAGCAAGGTTTACGAGGTGCCAGTACTTGGAACCCTGTCATTCCACTTCTCTGTGTACTGCCTCTGTACTAAATATACACAAAACGACGAGAAGGTTAAAGGGCTAATTAGTACACATTTTAATAGCAGAAGGCTGGTTAGCTTGTGATGAATGAGATGGTTACGCCTTACACAGTGGGATACTATAGTTAGTTATTTTAAAAATGTAAGGTAGTTCTGTGTGTACTCCAGATGTGTTGAAATGAAATATCTCCAAGATACATTGTTAATTGAAAAAAATAATCTGGAAAATAGTTTGGCATCATCAGAAAATTATCATGGAAGTTTTAACAGTACAGAAGGTTACACAAAGCATGCGTCTCCCACTAACATCCCCAGTTCTCATTTCCACCTTGGTAACGAACAGTTCTTTTCATTAGGATTTAAATTAAAATATGGCACTTTGATTCTTTAGGGCCAGTGGGGAGTGACGGCAGCAGAGGAAGAAGAAGAGAAGAAGAGGATTCAGGAATTTCAAGCATCTATACCAAAAATGTGTTCACAGTTGCGAATATTGACACATTTCTACCAGGTGCATATTGGATTAACAAAATGCTTATCAAATTCATATTTGTCATTTTCTGTAATTAACAGTTGCTTTCAAAATGATTAAAAATGAATCATTTCAATCAGTTTAGCAGTATTTATGTAGCTGTGAATAGTAACCCCAGAGGTTCTCAATCCTGGCTCTGCACTTGAGTCACCTGGGGAGCGGGCTTTCTGGTGTACCTGGGCTGCACTGCAGCCTGGGCATCAGGATGACTGAAGCCCCAGTCAGTGTGCAGCCAGTGTTGAGAGCCACTCCCCTAGAGACTTGTAGTTGTTGTCTTACTCTAAGCTCAACTCTTCCCCAGTGGTGCTGGTGGAGGCCTTTTGGAGGACATCTGCACGTATTTGAAGCCTTTACGATTTCTTTGTACGTCCCTTGATATGAGACTGATAGACGTACACTGCGGGTATATTGTATAGAAGTCTAAAGGGACCAACGTTCAGGATCGCAAGTGGGGAGGAGTCACTTGTTTCAGGGAGTCAGTGCCTCACTGACGTTTCTGAAACGCTGGAAAACAAACACAAGTCTGTGGGTGTTAAGCACAGGATGAGCAGTTGCGAAGTTGCTGAGAAGAGAGAAGCTAACCTACAAAGTATATGTGCTCTGCTCTTTATGTTCACTTTGTGGGTCTGGTTTCTGATTTCATCTCTTTCTCAGTGTGATTTTGGTGATGGAAATACAGATGAAAAATTTTCGTGAAGAATTTTTCCGTTCGTGATACATAATTAGAAAAGCGAATGAACTGTTGACTCTTAAATCTTTCGAAAACTATTTTTGTGTGCTGTTACATTCATGTGGTCCCTGTTCTGTAGGCATCCAGTTTGCTCTCCTGGGATCCTCATACTCTCTGATTTTTTATTTTTCTTCAGCATAACTTGGGCAGAGGGTTTCCTTTTGCAAGTGAGCTTATCCCAGCTTTGACCTCCTTCTTGTGTTTTTGTTGAAAACGTTTACTAAATGAGGATAAGGACTGGTTTATGCCCAGTACAGAATTACCTTTTTATTGGATAGGTGTTTTGATATGAGAGAGTTTTTTGATCCTATGATGTGTATATAATATGTATTCATATTTCTTTAAAGATGGGTACTGAATGGTTGGTTCCATACTATTAAAATAAGTTACTGTACGGCTGCAAAGGAGTAATACATAATTTAAAAAAATTGTCCCTGTGCTCATTTCTAAAAGAGACAATGATGTTCTTGTTTCTGGTTACACGTTGCCCTGATAGAGTGAATGTATTTCTTTGATAATCAATATAATCCCAATTTTACTCAAACCACAGCTTTAATCTTCTTTGTAAATCATTACCATTCCGATATCTTTTCCTTAATAGAAAAAAAATTCTTTGGTGTTCTCTTTGCAGAGGTGTTTGAAACTGGTGCTGTGTTAACAGCGGTTTGTCACTGACTGCTTGAGAGTGAACACCGAGTCTCAAATTTGTGGAAAAGAAATACTCAGATTTACTCGTAATGAATTTTATATTCTTATATGTCAAATTCATAACTCAGTCACTGTGTTTTTAGCAATATAATTTCTTAGGAATAATTTTTTTTCTCCTATCCTCTAGAAAGACAGTGATATTCACACACATAGACATTATACGTTTACTAAAAAGTAAAATCACTGTATATAATATATATGAGTCTGCCCATATACCAACTCTCCAGGTATTCCCTCAAAATCTACCTGTAAACTTTGGCACTCATTTTTCCGACCAGAAGCGTGGAGAGGGAATATGACAGCTGTTAAAGAGTTTGAGAAGGATTGGTAAGGGTCTGGTGGGTCAGTGACTTTCCTGTATCGATGAGAGCTCCTCCAAGGCACTAGGAAGCCTGGGGGCCAACAGCAGTCACCTTGGACTGGCGATGTCTGCTAGCAGTGAAGTAAGCTGTGTGTCTTGACAGGGACGGAGTTCATGCTCATTGAGTGACTCTTTCATCCCTAAGTAGAAACATTCAGTAATCTTGTCATATCACATCATCTTTACTTTACCCTTGATAATGAGGAGAAATAGGAACACTTTCTGTGCGTCCCTTTTAAGAAGGCAGCTTTAGCCTTAAGTTCATGAAAGCTTTGGGACCTTATGGGAATGATTCAGAAGATCTCTACAAGGATTTCGTTTTACTTGGATCCACAGTCAACACCCATGGAAGCAGGAGTCAAGAAATCAAATGATGTATTGCATCGGGCAAACCTACTGCAAAAGACCCCTTTAAAGTGTTAAAAAGGAAAGATGTCACTGAGGATTAAGGCATGCCTGACCCAAGCCATGTATTTTCGATCACCTTATATGCATGCAAAAGCTGGATGATGAATAAGGAAGACCAAGGAAGAATTGATGCCTTTGAATTATGGTGTTGGCGAAGAATATTGAATATACCATGGGCTGCCAGGAGAATGAACAATCTGTCTTGGAAGAAGCACAGCCAGAGTGCTCCTTGGAAGGGAGGATGGGGAGACTTCGTCTCATGTACTTTGGACATGTTATCAGGAGGTACTAGTCCCTGGAGAAGGACGTCATGCTTGGTAAAGTAGAGAGTCAGCGAAAGAGAGGAAGACCCTCAAGGAGATGGACTGACACAGTGGCTGCAGAGATGGGCTCAAGCAGAGCAGCGATTGTGTGGATGGGGCAGGACCGGGCAGTGTTCTGTTCTGTTGTACGTAAGGTCGCTTTGAGTTGGAACTGGCTCAACAGCACCTAACACCACCAACAACATACATATCTTTTTTTATGCCCTCAATTTATTTTCTATTCGTATTTTTATGACTGACTTTATAATTAAATACTTTCATAAATAATGTGAAAGATGAGTGATGTAAACAGAGTTTTATATTCAAAATAAAAAGAATAGTATGTTTTAACAACGGTTACTTTGCTGTTTTGCTTATTCTTGTAGAACTTAAGGGTAAAAATCTTGGTTACTGTATTCTTATGCAAATAATGCGCACCTTCTGCATTTGTTTGCTGGTCATGCCCTCCGCCCCACAAGGTGTTTTCAAAAGTGTGCTTCGCTGTTTTTTTTTTTTTTTAACAGCAGGATTGGCATGGTGACGCTTGTGAGGGTGCCCTACTAGGGGAGGGTGCAGCCAGCAAACAAATGCAGAAGGCACGCATTATTCTCATAAATATATGGTAATTGCTTTGAAACAAAATTTATTCATAGATAATTTATATTTGAAAAACGGATATCTCTTACTAAATGGGCTGCCAATGGCTCAGTAAACTGGAGGGTCAAAAAACAGCGCTTATTTCTTGGTACACCTGCCAGAGTGGGTGTTTATTAAATGTTTGTTGACTTGGAAGGAAAAATAACCCCAAAGGGGATTAAAATTAGGGGGTACATTTTGTGGATAAGTTTTTTCAGGAATTAATGTTTTATTCTTTGTTTCTTTCTAGGGTATTGTGCAGCAGTTTTTGGTGTTACTGACGACCAGCTCTGATGAAAGTCTGCGGTTTCTTAGCTTTAGGTTGGACTTCAATGAGCACTACAAGGCCAGAGAGCCAAGGCTGCGAGTGTCTCTGGGCGCTAGAGGGCGACGCAGCTCCCATATGTGAGGCGCTTTGTAGAGTCCCAGGGAGCTATGAATGACATGCATTGCATTGTTAGACACAAAGTTCACATGATATTGTAAAGCCAAGTGGCATGCTGCATAGTGTCTACCATTTCTGCCCACAAACATTTCAGGTGTTTTGATGGCACCGTGTTCTGGTAGAGTTTAAGGTCATGTTTTTATACATTCGAGTTGGATATATTTGTAATACCACTAAGTTCAATAGGTTGGTTTGCACTATTCAAGTTTTATTTTTAAAAATCTTCATATTTAAAAGATACCACACTTCGTTGAGCTTCTGAGCTCTTCATTATATAATTTATATTTGTCACTTTGTAACAAAAACAGTTTCTTTGTGAGAAAATTAGGGTACTGGGATATTCATCATTTAAGATGGTATTGTCATTACTATTTTTTAAACATCCTCTTTAGATAACTTTTTTGTTAATAGAACCAAGTTGGAACAAATTATCCCTACTAAGAAAGTACATAGAGTGTTTGATTTTGTTTTTAATGTTGTAAAGTATTAACCTCTGTCAGATCCCTTATGTATTACTGCATTATCTTTACATATGTTTATTATTTTTTTCTTTTCTTTAAAAGTTTACATTTTTGTATTTACTTTACTATTTCAGATAACTTCTAAAATAGGAGTGATGTAGAGCAAAAACATCCTTAACAGTTGCATCTTAAATTTCTTCTGTTAGCTGAAGCAATGTGTAAATATGAATGACTAGAAAAGTTAATGAAGTATTTTATTTTCAAAATCCTGATAAGCGTTGGAAAGAAATTGACTTGGATAATGAAGATTTCCTTTTTCCTTGCCTATTTTTTCATTGTAAATATTTATATACCACTGACCACATGTTGGGGGGAAGTGTTCTTTTGTAAAAATATCATATCAGGTCATATAAATTTGCCTTTATTATGTTACATAAGTGAAAACTTAGGAAATTAAAAGCAATTATCTTTCAAGTGTATTGGTTATTTCTTGATAAACAGATACAGTTCACTTGCCAGGTTTGGGAGATTGGGGTTGGTAGAGCTTGACTGAATTGTGCTGTGGTAGATGGGTTATTTGCTGATCACTGAAACCAGGACACGAGACGGTGTGCGCACCTTTAAATTGGGAAGGTTTACCTGCCAGTCAGTGCCCGTGTGTGACCTATCCTTTTGGTGACTAATACCTGCCTCTGCTTCCTTTTAGGTATAGAATCCATAAAAAATAAAAGGGGAAATCCAGATTCCTGGCAATGCAGAAGTGAATGCATGATGAAGGTCAGAAATCCATAGGATTTAAATTTAATTTTAGTTTAAAAAGTCATAAAATCAGAAATTTGAAGCAGGTTACTCTGCTACAAGACTTTCCAGGAATTATGATATATTGTGAATCTCCAAGCGAAATTTCCCAAAGTTATTTGACCGTAGAACCTGTTTTTATTTTATTTATTTGAAGCATTTCTCAAGGGATTAATATTCAGTAGAACTACCCTGAAATGTGCTATTTTGGATGTAGGGATTAAAGCTCCACTTAAGCTGAGGAACTGTCCAAGCAGTGAGATTAGATGTCGGGTGTCCTGCTTTGTATCAGTAGCCGTGAAAGTCCTCACAGGAGCTGAGTCGCAGGTCTTCTGTTAGAACAGAATTGTGTCAGAAAGATTGAGTTTTCAGGACCACAGATCATCAGGAGAGCATGGATGGTGGGGATAGGTAGATAAGATATTGCAAGAATTCATCTCAGACGTAAAAGACGTCACTGTTAATGTGACAGTGAGGTCTGGTACAGAGTAGCAAAGGTCTCATGAACTGGAATCAGCGAAGGTACTGGTGGCTGGGGGAGCGTCAGACTAGGTGTTGAGGAGATAAGAGCAGTGCAGCAGAGGGGATCAATCAGGGTCTGTGTGATACACAGTCGCCCATCCACTTTTCTCGGCTCTCCGATTTTTTGGGAAGCTGCTTTCCCAGTGACAGTGCATGCTGCCACTGTTCAGAAGCCTTTATGACTGTTTGAAACTGAAAAAAAACAGGTGTGTGCCACAAATTACTGTTTCTATAGGGTGTTGTATGAGGAGTGTGCGTTTTTGGTAGGAAAAATAGACTCTGGTGGAACTCGGTGATTTTCAGGGTTCGAATTAGTGGGACAGTTCGTACTGTCCCACTAGACTCTGAGGTTAGGCTTGTGGGAGGGGGCAAGGAAAAAAAATCCATACTAAAAAACAAAGATTGAGACACACTCAGTGATTCGGGATGCTCCCATTAAAGAAAACACATGATGTCAACAGGAAATTCAAAGCAGAAAATAATAAGGTTTTGAAAGGGTTCAACAGCCTTTGGAGGCAGAGTACCATCGAATGGCCCTGGGAGTTTCATCTAGAAAGTGATAATCCCTCCTGTCTTGCAGGGTTGTTGTAAAGATTAGAGATACTGTATACATACGGTTCGGTTCGTAGAAGGTACCTAATAAATGGTGCTATTGTGTTGTGGTGGAGTGAAGTAAAGCCTTTTGCCCTGGGCAGCTGAAGTAAGCCAAACCCAGCTTTTCTGCAGTTGAAGACACGTCCTACTCACTTAGGAAGTTTTGGTTACTGTGGCTGAATGTAAAGTTATCCTCTGGGTGGATCTGTAATTCTGCTGAAAGGGCTTTCCTTCCTTGTGATTATCAGGCTGTTTAGCTCAACTCAAGTGAAGAAAACACTTGCCTTTTCTTCCTGGCCGACCTTGTCACTAGAAGAATACATGACATCAGTAATTCTCAAGTCCCTATGGGAAAACTTGTCCTCCAGACTTAAAAAAAAAAGGACATGAGAACACAGCAAACATGAGGAGCCCCATTTATTAGTAAAAGAGAACTTTTATCAAATACAGTGGTCATACTCAAATTGAGTCACAAAGCACAAATTATATACAGAAACAGATTATTGTTACCAGAAACCGTGCCCTACCGTTGTACCGTGTTTGGTATCTGAAGCTGTAAATTTTGTTTGTGGTTGAAGGTTAACACTGGGGTTGCTGTGGCTCTTAATGTTTGATTTATGTACTTTAGTTATAAATGGTGAAGAGACACCTCTCTTCCTGTCTTCTACTCTTCCGTATCTGTAGAACTGAGAAGTAAATGGTTGGTCCTGTGTTAGCACTAAAAAATCACCTCCTGCAGTAAGTGTTTTATATATTTAAATAGATATATAAGAAGAAAATAGAACAATACATAGAAAATTAGAATTCAGAAATAGTAATTATATAAGTTATATGGAAATAATCAAATGAATGCAGTTAAATACGTGAATGGTAGGTAGAGCTAGGTTAATTGAGCTGGGTGAAGTTGGAGCTAGATTGCAAGGGTCTGTTGGAATTTGACTTGGTGGAAAAGAAAGGAAGAGTGACAGATGAAATGATCTCACAGATGTCGATTCTTAGAGCTTTTTGCCATTTGTCAGAAATATCACTGTCTTGGACTAGTAATTGTTTACCCTAATGACCCTACTTGGTTTTAATAGCATAACAATTACTTGGCACCTTTTTAGTGGCTAGAATATAAACAGCCTTTTCACTTTCGACTGTGTTATTACACTATTCAGATATTTTGAGTTAATTTTTAGTAATTTTTACTTTCTAGAAGATTATGCATTTTCATTTAGGTTTTCAAATTCATTAGCATTAATTTTCACATAGCTACCATGATAATTTTTTAAAATATTGCTATTTCAGTTATATTCTTTTAATTCCTAATGTTACATATTTTTGTTTTTTTTTTCCTGGTACATTTACCAAAGTTTGTTTGTAATTTAGGTCTTTTCAAGAATTATCCCTTTTTTGGTGTTACTTATCATTGTACAATGTACCTTTTTTTTAAATTCATTTATAAATTACTGTGTATGTAATATTTTCCTCTTTAGGATTATTATTTCTTCTATTGAATTCTTACAAAATTTATTTTCCCATTGTTTAATAAGCATTTCAGACTGTGCATTATCCTCTGCATGTAATTTTGGTTACATCATAGGTTTTTATATATTGGATTCTCAATGTCATTAATTCCTAAATAGTATTTACTTGCTGTGATTTTCTTTTTGACTCTGGGCATAGTTACAGTTTGAAAATTTCAAGGATGGTAGCTTTTTTTCCTACATTTTTCCTTTTTGAAAAATAAGAATAAAAGAAAATTTGCCAAACTATATACCAAAAATACAAAGCTACAGTATATAAAACAGCATGGCACAGGATAGTAAGAAACATAATTTGAATGGAATGAAGTATTCAAAAATGCCTATATTTATGGGTGTTTAGTATATGATGTTTAGTATATGTATGTTAAATGTCTGATTATTTCAACAAATACTTTGGGGCAATGGTTTTGGGCAAACCATTTGAAAAACAATTAAGAGCTTTAACTCACATTATACAAGAAAATCAAATCAGATGAGTTAAATATTTTAAATATAATTATTACAATTACTAGAATAAAATGAGGGAATTTTTTATAATCTTAGGGTTTTTGTAATTCTCTTCCTAACATCACACTAAGAACAAAAACTGCAACAGGAATTAATGACAGATGTGACCACATGAAATAGAAAATGATTACACAGTAAAAGGCAGCATTAAAGAGTTAAGACAAACGACAGACTGAGAAAATGTAATCGCAACATTTATAACAGTATATTCTTAATTATAGCTGACTCTTAAAATCAATATAAATTCTACAGATAATTTCAAGCATTGTAATTTGGCAATTCAAAGAAGAAATACAAAACAAATGAAACAAAACACAAAGAAAGAGGCATAGTAGCAGTCTTGCTAGTAATTTTTTAAACAAGTTTACTGAGGTATAATTGACATACAATTACTGTATATGAGTAAAGTCTACAATTTGATAGATTTTGACATATACATACATACATACATATGCACACACACACACCTGGGAACCCAGCTCCACAATCAAGGTAATGAATGTATCTATCACCCCCAAAATCTTACTTTGTTGGTCCTCTCTTCCTCTCATCTCTGTGCAACCGCTGATCTTCTTTCTGTCATTATAGATTAATTTACATTTTCTAAAATTTTATATAAATAGAATTATAGAGAATGTACTGTTTTTTGAGGTGGGGGGGGGGTCTGACCTCTTTCACTTGCCATGATTATTTTGAGATTTATCTATGTTGGTGCCTGTATAAAGAGTTAATTCCACTTTACTGTTGAGTAGTCCCTTGTATGGATATATGACAGTTTGGTTACTCATTAACCTGTTGATGGTTATTTGGATGGTTTCCAGTTTTTGACTATTATAGGTAGCTGTTGTAAACATTTATTTACAAGTCATTTTGTGGATAAATGCTTTCATTTCTCTTGAGTAAATACCTAAGAGTGGAATGGCTGGATCATATGGTAGGTATATGTTTAACTTTTAAAAAAACACTGCCTAACTGTTTTCCAAAGTGGTTATACATTTTGCATTTTTAGCAGGAGTGTACGAGAGTTCCAGGAGCTCCACATTCTTGTCAGCCTTTGGTGTGGTTCACTCTCTAATGGTAGATATTCTAATAGATGTATAGTGGTATCTCATTTTGGTTTTAATTTGCATTTCCCTAAGGTCTAATGTCTTTGAGCATCTTTTTTAAGTGCTTATTTTCTGTGAAACAGTGTCTGCTAAAATATTTTGCCCATTTTTTAAGTTGTTTTATTATTATTGCATTTTGAGAGTTATTTATATATCTGGATATAAGTCTTTTATCAGACAAGTGATTTGCAAATATTTTCTCCCAGGTCATGGCTTGTCTTTTTTTTTTTTTTTGACTGCTTCTTTTTTTTGTTGTTCTCATTTTAACCGCAAAGTGGAGCTTTTCAATGGAAGTGATATTTATATATTAGCCTACAGCTAATGCAGAGTTATCACCGTGATTATAGTAAAGAAGATTTCAATTATTGTCAGCTTTAGCTCATAGCTGTTTTATGTAGACCTTCCCTGTTCAGCACGTGTGGCTATCAGGCACTTGAAATGCAGCTAGTCTGAGTTGAGATGTACCGGAAGTATAAGAGACACTCCAGATTTTGAATGGCTAGTATGAAAAACAAAAGAATGTAAGATATCTCATTAATACTTTTTTCATACTGATTACATACTGAAATGACAACATTTTGTATATATTTGCTTAAAAATATATAAATATTAACATGAATTGCCCATGTTTCTTTTTACTTTTTTAGTGTGACTATTAGAAAATTTAAATTTGCCTGTGTGACTCATGTTATATTTCTGTTGGACAGTTCTGGTTTAGCTTTTTAGTTTGTTTTTTAAAATAAACTTCGTTTTAGAATAGTTTTAGATTTACAGAATTACTGCAGAGATAATACAGAGAGTTCTGAATACCCCGGCACCCAGTTTCCCTATTATTAACACCTTGCACTAGTGTGGTACATTCGTTACAATTAGTGAACTAGTATCAATACGCTGTTATTAGCCAGAGTCCATCCTTCCTTCAGTTTCCTTAGTTTTTACCTGATGTTCTTGTTTGTGTCTCAGGACCCTCCATACCTGCCACTTCACATTTAGTTGTCAGGTCGCCTCCTTGGGCTCCGTTGGCTTTGACATTGCCTCAGACTTCCATTGCTTTTGATGACTTTGACAGATCTGAGAATTAATGCTCAGGTATTTTATAGAATGTCTCTCAACTGGGTTGTCTGATATTTGTCTTACGATTAGACTGGGGTGATGGGCTTTTGGGGGAAGACCACAGAGTTAAAGGCCCGTGGCTTGTTACATTGTATCAAGGGCACGTACTATCTACATGACTTATTCTCAGTGTTGTTGATCTTGATCACCTGGCTGAGGTAGTGTTTTCTCCACTGTAGAATTACTGTGTTTTCTCCCCTTTTCATGTTGTACCCTTTGGAAGAAAGTTACTGTGTGTAGCCCACACTTAAGGGTTGGGGAGTTACGGTCCATCTCCTTGAGGGTGCTGTATCTACATAAATTATTTGAGATTCTTCTGTGTTGAAGGTTGATCTACTCTCCTCCATCCATTTATTTATTCAGTAATTTGTTTATATCAGTATGGACTCGTGGATATTTATTTTGTAATTTGAGTTATAGTCCAGTCCTACTTTATTGCCCAGATTGTTCCAACTATGGTAATTGGGGCTCTTTCAGTTAACTCCTGTATCTCTTTGACATACCCCCATTAGTGTGGTGGGTTTTTTGTTTGTTTTTTGAACACTTCCCTACTTTCTGGCACCACAGGATACTCCAGGCTTATCTTTTATGTTTTCTGTCCCGGGCAGGCCTGGATTCAGCCATCCTCCAGCGTGTGGTTTGCCTCTTCATGCTTTTAACAGTGTTTTTCACAGTGTAAAGATTTAATTTGGATTAAGTCCAGTTGACCCATTTTTTCATTTATGGATCATGAGTTTGGTTTTATATCTAAGAAATCCTTGCTTATCCTAAGGTCATAAAGATTTTTATCATATATATCTTCTAGAAGCTTTATACTTTTGGTTTTACATTTAGGTGTGAGATTTGTCTTGAGCTCATGTTTGCATTTGCAGACAGTGGTGGTGCAGAGTATGGATCCATACCTTGCATATGGCGTGTGGATATCCAGTTGTTCCAGCACCGTTTGTTAGAGTATCCTTTCTCCACTGAAATTCTTCTACTTCTTTGTCAAAACTCAGTTGGCCATATCTGTGTGTGTTTATTTCTGGACTCTGTTCTTTTCCATTGATCTACTATTCTATCTTGATACCAATACCGTACTGTCTGATTGCAGTAATAAGTATACGAAGTCTTCAAGTAAGGTAATGTAAGTCTTCAGTTTTGTTTTTCTTTTTCAAGGTTGTTTTGACATTTCTGTGTCCTTTGTAAGGTCCTCGGGTGGTGCAAACAGTTAAATGCTCGACTACTAATAAAAAGGTTGGTGGTTCAAACCCACCCAGAGGCACCTCAGAAGACAGGCCTGGCAATCTGCTTCCACAAGGTCACATCCTTGAAAACGCTATGGAACAGTTCTACCCTGCACACTTGGAGTTGCCATGTGTATTGGAATTGACTCCTCGACAACTAAATACAACAGCATGTCTTTTGTATTTCTATATGAATTTTAGAATCAGTTTGAAAATTTCTACAAAAAAGCTTGCTGAGATTTTGATTGATTGCATTGAGTCTGTGACTCAATTTGGACATTTAAACAATATTGGGGCTTCTAATCCATGAACACAGCATAACTCTGCATTTATTTAGATCTTCTTTAATTTATCTTAGCAGTGCTTTGCAGTTTTCATCATGTAGGTCTTCCATACCCTTTGTTAGGTTTATCCCTAAGTATTTCATACTTTTTGATGCTATTATAAATTATATTTTTTTCTTAATTTTAAGTTCTGATTGATCATTTTTAGTTTATAGAAATACAGTTTATTTTCTATATTCATCTTGTATCCGACAATATTGTCCAATTCGTTTATTAGCTTGAGTAACTGTTTTGTAAATTTCAAAGAATTTTCTAGGTAGATGATTGTGTTCTTCAAAGAAAGATAGTTTTACTACTTCTTTCCAATCTGGATGCCTTTTATTTCTTTTGTTTATTTGTCTTTGCTTTTTGGTTTTTTAAGAGTTTTTTGTTTTTGCCCTTTTGTGCTGGCTTTTAGTAGAAAAGGATTAAGTCTTTTACCATTAAGTATGATGTGAACTGTAGGTTTT